GCATATAAGGAACTACCTGGCTGGGGTTTGACGTTCCCTCTCTCCAGACTTCAGCCCGCGTCAATTATGATTGCGGTGAACTTTAATAAATTACTTTTTTGGTAAACTTTACCCGCGTTTGGTTTCCCTTTATATTGCAGAGCCAAAACGAGCCTTGGTTCCGTAATAATCATCACTCACAATAAACTTTTTGATAAGGTTGGGGGACTCGATATGTAAGGCGATCCCTATTCCTCTAATCCATTTGATTCAGAATACAATTTGATACTCTTATGTTATACCTTGTCTACCTTCCTTGAAAGTGGGAGATGTTGATTTAATGGACAAAAAAATGCAGTAACAAATCTGCAAGGATGGTTTTCATGCAGACGGTGTGTGGGAGTTTTGAATCAGGGTTCATTAAAAAGCCTTTCAAAGGATCCTATAAGAGAGCAGACTCTTTCATTTTATTTAGCCTGTCCTGTTGCTGAAATTTATCCAGTGAATGAGTTTTTGCTCAAAAGGTTTAAAATGGACCTGGGCCCTTGTTTTTCTTTAGAGGAGACTGAATTCATTGACTACCGTTTCTTTAATTGCTTTCATGCTAAAACTTTCTGATCTGATGTCCATAATTGGCTGGCACTCAAAATTGACGGAATACCTAAATTTAACTTTCATGACATTATTTATTCTATGGGCAATTTAGATAAAGGCATTTCTGATATTGTTAACCTGGTTATTAGTATGGGTAAATATAATTTACATTCTTGTAGATGAAAGGCATTAGACCCTCGTTGGCTCATTTTGTTACTGATTTTGCTAATTACCTTGATAAAACATGTTAAAGACTCAATAGCAATAAAGATTCAATTTGTATCTACACAAGCGGCTTCTGACTTCTGATTTAGCGGGGAAGGAAAAAAATCACAACAATCTGTAACTACAGATAGTTGGCAACTTCTTCACACTGTGCGCCTCAGCATGCATTGTCCCAGCTCTGTGATTTTGGCTAACCACTTTGTGAGTTGCTGTTGTTCCCATTTGCTTCCACTATGTTATAATACCACTAACACTTAACCGTGGAATATTTAGAAGAGAGTAAATTTCATAAATGGACCTATTGAATAGGTGGCATCCTATCACGGTACCATGCTTGAATTCACTGAGCTCCTGAGAGTGACTCATTCTTTCGCAAATGTTTGTAGAAGCAGTCTGCATGCCAAGGTGCTTGATTTTATACACCTGTGGCTATGGAAGTGATTGGAACACCTGAATTCACTGGGCAGTGGTGACTTAATGGTTAGGGACGTGCACTTGTAATTGAATGATTGTAGGTTCGAATCCCTGACCAGCAAGGCACCACTAAGATACCCTGAGCAAGATACCGCCCCCAAGCAATGCTCCCCAGGTGCTGAATTAGCTGCTCTCTGCTATATCACATACAGTATGGGTTAAATGCAGAGGACACATTCCTTTGTTGTGTGCTGTGGTGGGTCGACAATTAATCACTAAATTCTGAAAAAGAATTCAATGATTTGGGGAGTGTCCCAATGCTTTTGGCAATATAGTGTACGAAAAGACATCTGGGGCTTAATTTTCCACTTCCAGATGTCATTGTCCCTACCCGATTTGTACGGCCTACCCAATCTGTTCCTTCTGGCCAACAAAAACCACGTCAAAAATCAGTGGAGCATTGTTAAACGGTATTTAAGCGGCGTGTTTTAGAAACATTTTTTTTTAGACTACATCTGGTCCTTTCACTCTTTAACGAAATAAAAGAAAAACAATATATATTAAGTAAAGAACAAACCATATCATTAAAAAAAATCATCAGAATTAAGCCCGCACTGTAATTCAAAGGACATCTGGATTACTGAAAATGCGTTTCAGATATTTGGTAAGTCAGGTGGAATATTACAATACAGCCCTCAGATGGCGTGCTGCTTAACTGTATGTGCCCATGCCAACAATGGAGAACACGCTGGCAGCAGCAACACGGGCAAAGAGGGATCAGCTGGTAGAAGACCTGAATCGTCTGTAGCCTGGTAAGGAATCTGAACTGTTAGAGTAGAAAAATAACAGCCCTATTGATTTTTAAAACACTTTAAAAACTCCAGACCCAGAATTAAAATAAAAACACACACATGTATAATTAAGTGTCTGTTCCCAGCCACTGCTCTCGTTCAGCAACGAGCTTCTGCTTTCCTCATCTTCTGACATCATCATTCCGCTTTCAACACTAGTTAGCGCGGATGATCTGGTGATGCTAGAAAACAAGGACATACTCACTGCTACCCCATCCCATGCCTGCTTCCCCTCGAAATGCTCCGGTGAAACAGTGTGCAGCCGTAGATGATGTGCTCCCATCTCTTCACCTCACGCACGAGCACATCCGTTTCCTCAGCTGAAAAGTGGATCTGGTTTGCCATCTTTATTTTCTTTAATTAAACAGATGTCCATACAAAGGATCCATACAGAGGATTAATATGACAAAATGACAAGATAGGGAGCATACAATCATATTGCCAGAAATTTAGAGAAAGAAGGAGAGTACCGAACATGTCACCTAGCTTCCCAAATCAAACTAAATCCCACCATGTATTAAAAAGAGAAAAGAAAAGGAAGAAAATCTGAAGGATTGTGACACCAAACAATCAGAACAGCAAGGATCTTGACAATGAGGTTTACATTTTCCCTGCTTTTTTACTCATGTTCTTAAACCCCACCCCCCAATCGACATGCAGCATTTGATCACAGCTGATCACATTCATGCTGGAAAAAGTCATCGCATATTTCCAGATTCTCCAGATCTGACTAGCTTTTATTTTGGCATCCTACACTTCTGGCACAGTAGTCCTGCCTGCCCTGTAGCTTAATCAGTGAAGCGGCTGTTTACTTGCATTTCATCTACTGCAGTTTTTTATAAGGTGTTTCCTTTGCTTTTGTCACTCTGTGCCCTAATTCCCAAGCTTCCTTCATCACGTTTCCTGCTCTCTTCCCCACAGCTTCAGCGGCATTTTCTGCAGCCTCTTTTGGTTTGTCTGCTCTGGCTGCAGCTCTGGCTCCTTCAACCCCCCCTCCTATGGCTCCCGCTGCAGCCAAAACCCCCACAGACACACCCACTCCTATTCCTGCTGCTGCTCCTGCCCCTAATGCCCCAACTGCCCCAGCTTCTGACGCTGCTGCTCCTGTTGCCCCTAATGCCCCAACTGCCCCAGGTTCTGCCACTGCTGCTCCCACTGCTCCTGCCCCTAATGCCCCAACTGCACCAGCTTCTGCCACTCCTGCTGCTGTTGCCACTAATGCAACCTCTGCTACTGCTGCTCCCGCTGCTCCTGCCCCTAATGCCCCAACTACCACAGTTCTTTTACATGCTGCACCTGCTGACTCAGCTACAAGTTTTTCATAAACTCTGGTTGCTGCTCCCGCCAGGAGTCCAGCTGCCAATACAGTTGGCAGTGATAACCCTACAGCCACACCCAGCAGAGCCCCCAGTAAAGCCCCAGTTGTAACTCCTGCCACTAATCTCAGAGTCTTGTTCCTCACTCTCCCTCTTGCACGTCTCCTTATCTCAGACTCCTCTGCTTTCTCTCTTCTCTCCTCCATCTCTTCTTTTATCTTATTAACCTCTTTGTCTATAGCTTCTGCTATTACCTGGAGTGGTTCATTTGTGTAATGACTGCTGCTATTGTTTGTCACCATGTTCTCTATAGTTGTCAGCATCTGTTTAATCTGAAAGCTGTTGCTCCTGTACTCTGATTCATTCAGGTTTCCTCCAGAACTTGTAGATCTTTCAGACCCTTGGCCCGGTTCATGATCAGGTGTTGATGATCTTGGTTCTAACAGCATGTTCTTCACTTCTTCCAGTACCTGAACAGCCTGTGATTCCCCAGCTTCTCTCTTCTTTATCATTATTTTCTTTAGTTGTTCCAGGAGATCTGCAGACTGAGCATTTTTATCATCGTTTTTGTTCCGTTGCTGAGAGTCAATGACATGGACTCGATAATCACACTTTTTAACAAGTCCCTTCAGATCCTCATCTTTCTCTACATACTCTTTAATTGTTTGGTTTTTCGGAAGCTCATCACCATGTGTGAAGAGGACAATTGTGTGCTTCAGGGCTTCCTCCCCAAACCACTTCAGTATCTTCCTCACAGACTCTTTCTCCTCTTTGGTGTGTCTTCCCACTCTCAGCACTAAGATGAAGGCATGTGGACCAGGAGCACACTCAGTGAGACAGGATATTATGGAATACTTCACATCTTTCTCAGACCTCCCAGTGTCAAAAATCCCTGGTGTGTCAGTTACTGCAAGTTTCCAGCCATTTATGTTTCTCTCTTCTGTTTGACAGTCTATTGTTACACTGTTAGGATCAGAGGAAACTTTAAACTTCTCTTCCCCCAGGATAACATTTCCTGCGCTGCTCTTCCCAGATCCTGTTTTTCCCAACAATACAATTCTTACTTCAGCAAGTGCTTTGGGAAAGAAACACAGTATCAGTTACTGTAAATGTGGTTAAAATGAACATGAACATGGCATATTGCTGTAGAAATTAACATTCTCTATCATCTTTAGCAGCTCTTGAATGCAATTACTTTATTCTGTCAGCAGATGGCAGTGCCGAGCCACACAAAGCATGAGCACATGGGAAAGAGACCAACAGTGAGAGGTACTTATTTAACCCCTTTTATTACTCAACACAGATATTTTCTCTTTTTGCTTAGCTAGAAAAAGTATAATTTCTATACATAGTTTGTTTACCCGAACACTAACAGAAAAGCTTAGACATGCAGCTACACTTAGCAATTTTACGACAGATGCCTCGGTGGATGTCAGTCTAGCTCAGGGGTCGGCAACCGAATTGAGAAGAGCCACTTTTCGGAAAACCACTGGAGCCGCAGAATTTATTCTAAATAGTTTAGCAACATTTTTATAGACACCAACAATAAAGTGTAAAGAAACAAGTAATTTTCAATGTTTCGTGGTCTCTCGAACAAAAACGCCATGCCCCTAATTTTATTAATAAATATCGTTTTCTTTTTTTAAATTAACAGGTTAAGTTATTCCGCTACTTTGATCAAATCAGTCTTTATCGTATTCAGCATGGTGTAGGGCTTTCCATTTTTATAATCTCCCGAGACTCCACAAAACTGACAGCAACTGTGGCACAACTTCTAAAGTACAAGCTGATAAAATAGCTGTGAAAGCGTATGCTACTGTCCATCCATGTAAAATTTCTCGATGTTTCTCGATCTTTTTTTTCTCTGTTTCACATTTTGTTAACTGTTTTCAGCTGCCTTGTGACAAAATTCACTTAGATTTGTTTAGATACTTTTACTGTTATATACTATTATTTAAAACATCTTCGCTAGATTCAAAATGAAAAGTGGGTACCTATTGGACCGATATTATCCAATCAACATAAGCCACCTTAAGATTGCATGCGCTCTAAAATGCATACGGGTGTGTTCAGAACGGAATACTGTGGCATATGTACTGAATTTCACTGGAAGTATGTATGCATGAAATCCGCTTTGGAGGAGCCACAGGTTGCCGACCCCTGGTATAGCTGATGCCCCAGTTACAGAATCTCTGAACATCAGCCTACGTGTTTCAGAGAGACATAGACGGAGCACAGCTGGGAGGCCCAGACAGCAGAGCAGAAATGCCAGTGTGGTAACTGACTCACCATCCATGCTTTCCTATGGGTTGGTGTCAGAAACTGCTTTATGTCAAGCACCTATATCTGCAAGTGAATAAACATGAAAGTTATGGTCTGCTTCAGACAAAAAGTCAGAGAACAAATAGTACAATTTGGGCTGATTCACACAGATTCTCACATTAGCAAATATATAATAATAATTGTGGTGAGTTTCACGTATGTCAGAATTCTTTACAAATTGTGCTGTAGGTAATATGTTAAAAAAAACATACAATTTACAATAAAACAGTGCACAATTTACAGATTAATGTGAGCAGACTGGATATATTCAGACAAAATTATAGGTGTGTAATAAAATATGTAGTGTAACTCCTTAGTGCAAATATCAACTGTTAAAAAATAAAGTACCAAATAAATAACTTAGATTAAAAAGGTGAATGTTCATCCCCATATAATTTCTTTTCTATGTGGTTGAATTTACCATCAAATTTCTGAATGGAATAAAATCAAATCATGTCAATTTCAATTTTTATTTGTCAAATATATTGTTATACTCAGTACAATGTGTAGTGAAATGCTTGGTTTCCCAACTCTGTTACTGTGTTTAACAGGACACAGATATACATTATAAAAAAGATAAAATCATCAATATAAAGTATGAAAATATAAAATCAATAATATCCACAAATAATGTACAGTCACTGACCACTTACCGCCTCAGGTCTCCTGATATGGTTGTAGCTGAAGTGTCTGCAGCTGATCTCCAGCCCTCAGTTTATATCATAGTGCCAGAGCTGCTAACCTGTTCCTCCAGTTTAAGTCACATGTCCCACCCACAATTTAAGCAGCTTTGTATGGCTAAATTATTAATGAGGCCTTGTATCAGAGCATGTGAGCGGAGTGGAGCAGTGAGAATTTCCGCTCCTCGCCACGAGGCTGTTGGCTCCGCCCGCTTCTCCGCTCTAATTCGCACTAAGCCGCTCCGCTCAACACCGCTCCTCACTCCACTAAAATTTCTTCCCGCTCCAGTCATATCGCTTCACGCTCGCTCCAATTTCAAAGAGGGACAAATATTCTGCATGCCTAACAAATGTCACCTTAAACCGAAGCCTTATATCATAAAGAAATATGAGCAACGGCAACATTGCCACTCAGAAAATATTTATTTTTAATAGGGCTGGGCGATGTCAAATCGCGATTAAATCGCGCATGCGCAATAATCACTAGGGCTTCAGATGACATGCGCAACATTTGGCCATGCGCCAGCTTTTCTGTGCTATACGGACATTTATTTACGAGTGGAGCGGTGAGAATTTCCGCTCCTTGCTCACGAGGCTGTTGGCTCTGCCCGCTCCTTCGCACAGCCCGAAAGAGGCACGCGGGACTGTCCCCAGGTGGGCCCACCACC